AGCCGCAACTGGTGTCTACATATAGCACAGAACAAGATAGCAGTTGTTTCAAATTGAAGTATCCCACGAGAACCCGTCCTATGCCACGCTCAAAAGCCACGCCTACTCCGTCTCAGGGATAAGGAGTGTATATAATGGCATGGTGCTTAGTTTTTCTTATTTTTTTAAGATAATGTCATTCAAATTCAGTGAAGGTACAATGAAAACAAACCGACCGAGCGTGGGATTTCTGCCTCAGAAGATGAATGGATTACCCTGTGGAATAAGTAGATCAAAAATGAAACTTGCGGCGTTTGCAGCTTCAAAGCTGTTTACAAGAGTTTGCAAAATGTCCTTCACCCCCTAGCCCCTCTCCCTAACGCACGCCATAAGATTTTTCGTCAGATTACAAGACACATTAACGTTTCAGGACGTTTGCAGCGGTACTGCACAAACACACTCTGCGACCAAAGTATCCATTCGTTGTTAAAGCCAATCTCAAGGAGAAACCAAAGAGAGTGAAACCAAGGAGTCAACCTATCAGACGAAAGGGCAACTATATGAGGGTGGAGTCAAATAATCACTGGAAAAGGCGGCCGATGGGTAACCTGTCTGTGCAAAAGTTAATTTACTGAAGGGAAATGCAATTTCGTGAACAAAAAAGGTTTCGATGATAAGATGTCTCATAGAAACGACATTTGATTGGAAGTGATGACTTGTCTTGAATGGGGAGGAGAACCACGCGACAATGAGAAAACGATCAAGACGTCACGAAAACACTTTGACTTCGGCAAACGGGGTGCAAAAAAACAACTGGGGAAGTGACTGAGAGAATGATGAAAGTGTGGACTCAACCTGTTCGCTTACAGTTTGGGTCCACACTTTCAGGTCGCCCATATGAGCAAAGGTAAATACTGAAGTTTTGGTCAAAAATTATTGTGAAAGAGTTAGATAAGGTTCTTTATCAGGAAAAAGCAAGGGGGCAAGTGGTCCGTGACTCAGCAAGCACAATGAAAAAACAAGGTCGAATTCGCTGCAAAGGCGAAACTCGAGGGCATTCGGGGGAGTGTCTACGGATCGTTAGCAAATTGGTCCATCTTTAGTTTGGACGACGCGCGAATGGTGCCCAACACTGGACTGAAATCAGTCTTGTTGAGCTAAATGCCCATGGGACGCTGAAAGAACATTTATCGAAAAAAAATTAGCGTAGGCTGGATACCCGAAGCGAATGTAGAGATCGAATTGTAAACTAGGGGTCATAGGTGAAATTAGCGGGTCGTGTGATGAGTGCATTTATGACAACTCGTTTACTTTACATAAAGGGAGGGCAAAGAACTGTGTTTAGATCGGCGGCACATTGCCAGGAGAGGTGTGATGTCGTTAGGGGTGAAGGGATCCATGTTGCGGTCGAGGTTCAGTGACTACAGTTTTTTCGCAGGGCGGAAACAGCTACATTTGTCGTGCAGGACGGGGGACTTGTAAGTTAGTTTGGAGCCTGACCTGCGGGGTCGAGCAACGAAGGTCCGGTGTACACCAGTGCTGAAAGCGGGCAAGCGGCAGGATATAATCAGGTCTATTATCACTCAGGTAAGTCGACCGTGTTCATGTCACTTGAGCCAGCACTTGAATGAGTTGGAGGGGCACTGACCCAGCCCCATTGACACGTCCCACTGACGTCCTATCATCCGCTGCAACTAAGACTGCACACTAACACCCACCACATCCACTGTCCCCATTGTCGATTCACTCCTGTACGGATGATCTCAGAGGTCGCTCTGGTACTGGAGGACACGAGCAGTCCAGCTGATCAGAGAACGCCTTTATGGTCCACGATTTGTTCTTTTCATGCTTGGACCCCTGGATCGTCAAGAGTTCTGGGATCCACCGCTCTCGTCGGATTCTGGAGGTACGAAGACGGTCCCCGCTGTAAATGTCCAGTTTCTACTTCCCACCACTCCATGAACAACAAGTTTTATGGGAGGGGGCGTGGGGAAGGGTACACTGCGCGAGAAAATTGTCTTTTGTCCCACCGCTCTATTGGAACTTAAAAACTTTATGACTAATTTGTACAGTCATGTGTACGATTTTTGAACTGTGACTAAGTATCAAAAATGCTACAGATCAGAAAATCGAAGCACATGTGAATGGTCAAAATATGTACGAACGAACAGGGATTGGTTAGCTGCAGCCGTGATAACTGGCGAAAGGCCAATGAAGGGTGAAAACGGCTCTCATCATAGCCAGTATTACCGATGCAAAATGATAAATATGAAAGCGGTTATACAGCCATTTTGCTGCAGACGTGAGGGCATGTCAACGGGCCGCCCAGGATACTTGTCAACCGCGAAGTATCCCTCCCCTTTCCTATTTTCTTCCTTACGTTTTTCCCCTCCCTTCTCTCTTTCCTCTTCCTTTTCCTTGCCTCTTCAAATCCGCGACCTATAGGTGTGATCGGAAAATACCTCTGGACCCTCCCAGCTCGTCCTTCGGTTGACAGAAGCCCTGAACCTGTCATCGGAGTCAGCTCGTTCCTCACCAGCTGTTCAATTGGGTAAGAATGAGAGATGAGAATTGGCGGAAAACAGGCTGGCGCCACGCTACCCCCCCCCCCCTGACGAGCCTAGCATCTCCAGTGAAAACGACTATACATGCGGGTTAGACATATAGGCCCGTTTCTTTGTCTGTCTACTGATCTGTTCACTTGCTGCTACCTGAACCTCAACAATACAGGCTGTGAATGCCTTGTATGAGCGGAGTTCAGTAAAAGACATGTGACATTGTGGGTCGGAGCCTGACCTACCCAGGTTCGGGAGACGGGCAAGAGAATCATAAATAGCCGATCCGTCGCGCGCGGCAATGGGCGCGACGTTCCCCTCGCTTGCGCTACCCTTTCGATTGGAACATCTTATGTTGACAAGGACATGGTAGACACTTATGTCTATTTTTGGTCATACATTGTCTATTCTCGACCAATACCACCTAAAATCGTCGTCATTAGCGGCGCGACGTCGCACGCGACGCCCACTGGCGCGGCGAATTACGATTCTCTTGCCACATACCCCTCAAGTTCTTGCGCTCTGCTGTGTAGCACAAAATGCGTTACCTGACTGCTTCTCTGAAACGAAGCAAATTTTTATCAAAACGAATAATGAACCACTTCTCAAAACGGGACAACATGTGATAACAACAATAATAACTGAGATACTGATTGAGAATCCGTTCAAACATAACTAACTACGCTCAAAAGAGAGAACAGATTACTAAACATGAATTTTACAACTTCACTTCTGTTGAAGTACAATAAAACAAAGCGAAATGGCAAAGGACATGGGTCATTTGAAAAAGAACCTGGAAATTTTCTAGAAAATTCAAGAGAAGTAAACAACTATTCGCATGACTGAGAAAATCACTTCTGGATATTCTTCTGTGAAGAAAATTCTAATTTGGTGGCTACTACGTTTCTAGCCCTGATTAAATACAATATACAGCCCAGGATAAAACGATTACCAACCCTAAGACAGGCATGTCTAACATGCAGAGGAATGGTGTTGAACGCCTGAAAGTATAGTAATAAGTAGGCAAGGAAATCTTCGAGTCGATGTCGGATCTAACGCTAGCGCTGTATATTGCTTGGTAGGCGGGCAACGAAGTACACTATTGAAAAGTTCACGCGGTTTTTGCAGCACAAGTCCCAAGTGGTTCCTGTTACCTCTTGTGAGTTATTGTTTCATTCTGTACTTCCATCGATTTTGTTTTCAGGTTGGAACGTTTTGAATAAGGAAAAAACAAGAAAAAGGACAAGAAAAGGAAAGGGGATGAATATAGTTAATATCAGTAAAAGTTCACAATATAAGTATGTGCCGGATAAGAAGTCCTGCGGCAAGCCAGATCCTCCATGCTACACGCTAATCACAATCACTAGCCTGAACAAACGCCCATCTCACGAGCTGCTTCTCGATTCCGCTCTGGCAGAACTAGAACCTAAATAAGTGGTACTCAGAAAATCCCAAGTTCCGTGCATGAGCAGAGACTGGCCATAACTCCCAGCTCATTTTTCAGGCGTCACTTTTAACGCATGCCGTCCATCACAGAATAGGAATGATGGGACCTTCCTTAAGTTACAAGTAGAATATCGATCTAGCTCTAAAGTCATAAGAGTAGACTACGACCGTCATTGCTGTGCAAGTAACGGAGGCATCTTTTTGAAGCCTCACTTATAGACCACATGAAGCCCTTTCACCATGCAGATCTGCTTTTGGCTCAGCGGGCGGCTCTTTTTCAGGAGCTGGAAAGCACGGGTTATGAAAGAAACCCACCGTTGTCAAAGTAACAACAAAATATTGTCTCCCAAAAGATCCTTCCAAGAGGCAAAAACTCACTCATAACCAACAGGTTTGCCGTCCCAGACTGGCTTATTTTATGTGGTGTCTATCGCAGAAAGGTTTTCCCGATAACTAAGATTGCAAAGAAGCTCGACAGTTGTCACATGGGAGCAGCCTAGAGAGGATGCTCTCTGCTGATAGTTACCTTTGGCTCCGCCTCCAGGATGTCGGGCGAATGGTTACCATTCCTTCCTCGTGGTTGACCAGTACGCTGCTTATCTTCGAGTAAAATATCTCCGGCTTCGGAGCGCTGATACCAACGAGTCACTATGGGACTTCGAGCGACACCACGCTCGATGACAACGCTGGTGCTGGTTCCAGACTAGGATAGACTGACCCTACAGGAATACAACACAGGTTACCCAAAATTTTTGATCTTGACCCTTGAGAGACTTTTAAACCATGTTGCCATAAGGAGCCTGTCTGCAGAAACCTAATATAACACTCTTCGTTAGTCGGAGGTGAAACCACTTGAAATTTGTGTTAATGTTCTGTTTCTTATCAATTGATTACGAGTGTAGCAAGACTTTTCGTCAACAGAAATAGATCAACATATGCGTACTCACCTTTAGGCGATTGTGGAGATAACCGTCAAAGTTAAACGAGGAAGGCGCTGTCTTCAAGCCATTTCGGCGTTTTACGCGCACGCGATGGACGGATTTCACTGCTTAGATCAGCCTGAAATAACATCTTAAAGAGAAATCAAATAACAAGCAACAAGCAGGGAAAGTGCTGAAGTTTATAGTTTCAAAGCAGTCACGATAGGAAAAGGATACATCCCTTGGTTCTCACCCAGGAAACGCTGAGTTTCGACTTTTCACTTTTACAAATGAGACGTCTATTTAGGTAAGAGCACGGCGCTCTGCGTCTTGCTTACCGAATCAAGTCTCGCACGCAAGATTTCTATCAGAAACACTATTGAAGAAAGTGACCCTACTCCAGTAAAATCATTTCTTGTCACTGGTATGAAATCAAACAAAGCTCTCATGGATTCATGAAGCGTTCGAATGAGAACGCCCGTTGACCACATAAGCCTTCTCAAGATCTTTGATACACTCAGAACTTCGATCGACACTATGAATGCCACTGGACAGTTTGATTGAATTTCACGGGCGGAAAAAACAAAAACTTTTTGAACAAAAATGTTTATCATGTCAAAAAAGCTTGGTTGTGGCAATATGTTAGTCCTTTTCAACAGATAATTAATTCACTAATATTGAGAGAAACAAAAATTATCGAGCACCTTTTTGAGAGTTGAACTGAGAAACAAGCAACAACGTCTATGAAAACCCCATCTCATTGTCATTAAAGGCGAGTGAACTTTATCAGTCACAACCGAAAGACGTAAAGTAGGCAGAAAAAAAATAGAAAAGTCACTTATTGAAATACGCATAACTGCAAAGAATAACACTTACTTCAGATTTTGCAGACTTCGATGACATGCTAATTATCTCCTCGTTATCAGTTTTTTGAATCTTTGGAGGTGTCAACGCAGGAGCAGATTTGCGGTTGTAGGCACGTTTCGTTGCACGCTGAAGTAACAAACTCGTAGATCTGAAGCTACAAGCACGTCCAAAAATGGTAAATTGCAATACTAATGACAAAGAAGTAAATAACACAAAAGCGAAGAAAGAAAGCAGAAAGAATTTGTCCCGTATAGAACTTCATGCAGATCTGCGCTTATACTTGCGTGGAATGAAGAAGGGGCGTGGTCGGGCGGATCCTCGTTTATTGGTATAAGCTCTTTCCCTCATCACCCCCCCCTCACCATTTGAAACGGAGAGAGCTAATAGCAGCACAACCGCACCAGCATCAAGTAAAGTGAAAGTTGGCCAGTGAGTGGGGTAGTGGCTTCATCGCAGCGGGTCGCGCATTCCGGCGCTGTTCGGGGGGCATTTTGCACTTACGCTACTTCCCATTGACGTGTCCACCTCTGACAGGCTTTACCATGATGGCTTGACGAGCTTGCTCCAGCTTCACAAGAGTTCACAGGTTTCACCAGGGTGAGACTTGTAAACCGGAACTAGTGAAGCAACGAAAGTGCAAAATGCCCCTCCCCCACCCGTCACCGAACTTCGCCGCGCTTTCCTCAAGCATTTTCAGGCTGCAAAGGTGGTACATCCGCCATGCTTGCGGGCAAGACTACCATGTCCAAAAAAAGGCGTCTGAACACCGAATGAACCCGGTGTGCCTTTAACTACCTTCAAGCAAAGTGTTTAATTAAAGTGTAGGCAATCACTAATATGCACGAGGATGACATATGCAATGAGGAAAACGAACCGAAGGAGAAGTGTTAGTTGCGTTTCCACCAGCCATCACATTTGTAGGTGGAGTTGGTGTGGGCTGGAACAGAAAGTGATGAGCAAAATTAAGATACCAATTATTTTCATTTTTTTTCATTTCATTTATTAAACTGCTAAGGAGCACTTACAATGACCGGTTCTGCTGTGTTCACGGATAGCATAGCCATTTTCGCGGCCTTCGGTGGACGACCAACTTTCTAAAAAATCATCGCTGAGGAAGAAATCGCTGAGTGAGACCAAAACTGTCGAAATATCGAAAGAGGATTTATGTACAAGCATGGAAAAAGGGGAGCAAGTTGGCACACAGATTTCCTCAGGGTAGTGATATTTTTTCAGGAAAACTGAAATCAGTTCTGAGTTCATTAGACACTCTAGAGCGTGTTTTTGAGAACCGTTCGCAAAACCAAACTAATAGATTCCGCGAGTATTAAATCATGTTCTTAGTAGGAAAAAGTGCAGCTCTCACCAGTTTGATGACAGGTTGTGGCTGTTTGACGACTTCTTCTTGCTTTTCTTGCTTGGGCAAAGGAGTCGCAGTGGTCTGTGGGGATGCCTTAAC